AGGAAATCATTAGTGGACTAAAATCATTGCCAGGTATATTGATATTTTGGTTTTGAGGTGGTATAGGGGATGTTGGCACTGTAAAATACTACTCAGGGATTCTTCTTTCTTATTTAAGTTTCACTCTCCCCCTCCTCCTGAAAGGTAGAMAATATGAGAAAAATGGGCTGTTCCTTTCTGCACTATTTGCCAATTTTACAAGCGCCCTTCCAAGAAACTTGGCAGCAAGATTGGAATTTTCATGGGTTGGGTTTTCTAATTACAATAAGGTAGTTTTGTATGAGAAATATTACTTGATCTCCTAAATTTGTCGTTTGAAACTTTTAAAGCCCCCCACTTTAAATCAGGATAGATAAAAGGAAATTAATTCAAGGTGACTTTAAATGGACATTTCATAACTCCCTTTAGAAGTTCAAACAGGATGTATGAACACTGCTTAAAGCAATAGTTACTTTAAATTTATTACTGTAAGTAAGGCTGGAGAAAATATCCTTAAACTACAGTCAAAGCTGCTAAGTTAATGGTTGAATTGTATTAAGTGTATTTGTTCTATTAGATAATTAAAACATTCTACTACAAGCAAACTACTTTTTCTAGTTAAAAAAAAAATTGATTTTTTTTTTCTGTGCCTCAATAGAAATGATTAAAGAAGTCTTATCCTTGGATGAGAAGATACATGATTTGGCTCTTGAACTGTACAAACAAAGATCATTGCTGGTTATGGGTCGTGGGTACAATTACGCCACTTGTCTGGAAGGAGCTTTGGTAGGAACTTCTCAATATTTTTTAATATTATTTAAAATGAGATTTTGTGGCTTCTGCAATGTAGTTTATTTCTAACATCACAATTTAATTCTACTGCAGTAAAACTGCCATCTATAACTAGGAACATTTAATTCAACACATACATAAGGTGAACTTGGATATGATAGCAGTTTCTTGTTTCTTTCACATGATAAACGCGGYGTTTAATGAGTCTGTTTAAAAACAAGAAACTAATAATTTAATTTGCTGACCAATTTGACAACATCCGAGAAACACAATGTGCTGATGTTGAGAAGAGATGCTCATGCAGGAAAACKCATGAATTATGTTATGAATGTTCTGGGAAAATGGACACATATCCATCTCTCAGAGGAGTTTGATGTTTTAAAGGCAGACTGCAGTAGCCAAGGTTGTGTTGGGTGTTTGGTTCTTGCTGCCCACAGCCTGCTGGAAATCCCAGCAGACACCCCTGTGTCTTCATTAATACTTGATACTGGGTATGTGTATTTAAGTGGCAGAGGAACATTTTTGGTGTTTTGCTTCTTGTGGCTGCTGTTTCAGATCTGATTTAGTAGTAACTTGAGGCATTTCCTTTTTTGTAGAAAATAAAAGAAATCACCTATATGCACTCAGAAGGTATCCTGGCTGGTGAGCTGAAACATGGGCCCTTAGCCCTAATAGATAAACAGATGCCGGTTATCATGGTGATCATGAAGGATCCTTGTTTCACCAAGTGCCAGAACGCTCTGCAGCAGGTCACTGCTCGGCAGGTATGGTGTTTAACTGATTAACTTGTACTGTGTCATAGGAAAAGAGATTGCACACTGTATTGTTGCTGACTGTGCACCTGGAAAGGGATTACTGCTGATTTTTTTTAATTATTTAGTTATAAATAAGATRCTACGTCTGCATTGCAGGTTGTTATTACAGGTTAACGTCAGCAGTGAAAACTGATTTGATGTCGTTTGTTTGTTTGGGGGTTTTTCTGTTTTGAAGCAAAGGGAGTAATGTTAAAATTCTATAGGGTGAAAACATTCAAGTCTCACAATATAGTGAAAGTCAAGAGCCATTATGCAAGACTGGCATTGCCTTTTTTAGCTACTTGGGTGTCTTCAAACCACATACAGGCRTCCTGTGAACAATATTGCTAAGCAGTTCTTGGCTAGCTTTTCACTTAACAATGCAAAATTTTATTTTCAGGGTCGTCCAATCATTCTGTGCTCTAAAGAAGACACTGAAAGCTCAAAATTTGCCTACAAAACCATTGAGCTGCCTCATACAGTTGACTGCCTTCAAGGAGTGTTGAGTGTCATTCCTCTTCAGTTGCTTTCATTCCACCTGGCTGTTCTCAGAGGATATGATGTAAGTGTTTTCTATATTTGACACTCCACTTAGTGCAGTTTTGAACTTCCTCCTACCAGTGTAAAGTGAGAGACCCAGTTAGATGGCATATCTAAGAGATAGCTGTGAAAATAGCTAGTGAAGCTCATAGTCATTATAGAGGTGGAATTTCAGTGCCAGTCCTTCAGTTTTGTCATTTTTAAATTAGTATCCATCTGAAAAAAATATAAAGCTCTTTTGCTTAGTTTGATTAGTTAAGAATGCAAATGGGACTTTTTCAGAGAACTAAATCTGGAAATATGATWCTGTACTTCAACTTAAAGTGGGTCAGTGCTTTGTACAGCTTGGTCTGTTGATGTGTTGGTGTGTCAGTTCGATAAGGATGACTGCTTTGGAAAGGTACCCTGTGCAAAACAAATATGTATTTGTTAGGAGGGTTTTGGAAGCACTGATGAATTCAACTATGAGTCATTATCTGGAGATCTATAGTCTGTTGTGTGTGTTAATGTGTCTAGCATAAAGCAGAACTCATTAGGAAGTCTGAAAAAGCACACCAAATGAACTGTCAAATGCAGAATGTCAGTATTACCCTGTCATGCTGAAAGTCTGTCTTTTCATTCTAGGTGGACTTTCCAAGAAATTTGGCCAAATCTGTTACAGTGGAATAACATCCAGGAACAGCTGATGTTTTTGTCATCAGACCTCTGAGTTGTACTTGTAGAATGTGTTGTTCTGAATTGATAGGTAAATGTTTTTTCTAAAGAGAATGACAGTGCTAACTGGAAAGTGTCAGAAGGATTTATCTTGCAGCTTTRAAAGCTTTTGATGTGCCTTGTACCCAAGTGCTTTTGCTCACAGCAAATACTCCTCTAAGTCCTGAAATTGCCAAAGAAGATAAACATTGTTTACACATGGTATACTGAATGAACTTTTTTACTGTGCAATATATATATATATATATACAGCTCTCTTCAGAGTAACTGTGAACATTTTTTTAGCCTACACTACATAATTAGTTTTACAGATATAGTATTTATAAAGTACAATTTGTATAGCTTTTTTTTTTTAAGTTATTTTTTTTAGTACATTGCTTATCTGTAACATTGGTAATGCTCAGAATGTAAATACTGTGCATGTTGATACTTGTGTATGTTCATTAGGGATTTTCCTTCTTCAGCCTCAAACTGGAAATTTGTTGACCCCTCTTCTTTCCCAGCTGCCCTTCCCCCTTTGCATCTGTGCTTCATATTTAACCAGTCATTTGCAAAGTTCTTCTGTGGCTGTTAATTCCCTGCTATGTTTTAAATTTCTGCTTCTTTCAACTGTTTTGAAAAGCCACAACGACATTTGTTTTGTATGCCACCCCAGCTCTTATTTGCATAACATGTATCATGCAACAGAATAAGGGAACTGGATGTCTTTCAAGTGATATTTTTGTTTGAAGAGGGTACAGTGAAATGACAATGCAATTAAAAGACTGTATAATTCTTCTTGTTTTGTGGTTTTTTTTTTTTTGTGTGTATGTGTTTGGGTTTTTGTTTCATTTTTATTGTTTTTTTTTAACTTGATGGCTCTTATCTTAGGTCTGAATAAAGTTTTATCTTAGTTCCATATATATGTGCAAAACCACACTTTGCCAATTGGCTCGCAACTCGCACTAGGGGAGCATCTATAAACCTGCAAAATAATAAGGTAGATACACACAACAAGTTCTCTGCTTATATTTGTTAGGTTTTTATTTCCAAATGGCCAGAAAGCATAGTATTCAATTTTTCAACATTTTATTAATTAAATACTTCACTAGTAAAATTTTCTCKATTGCATTCCTCGGCAGGCTTGCTTGTAAAGGGAGGTGTTTCATTGTTTACTTAGTTCAAGGGTGTGAAGGTGGAGCTTGTTACTGGAGSTACTTACTGGAAACTGCCTCACTACTTTTTGTAACCACATGAAAGAACCAAAATCATAATGTGAAGTACAGTACTAATCTGAATAACTGCCAAGAATATGTAACTCTGAATTTAACGTGTTTTGGTAAGTGAAGAAAAGGGCCCCTTTTACTGTCTRTCTAGGACTATAATTCTCTTCATATTGAAAAGTGGAACTATCAAAGYATATTGATGTCATCTAGTCTATATGCTACATTAAATTGATTTATTAWAAAAATTACAGGTGTGTTTTTTCTAAAATCATCTGTGAGAACAGAAATCACAGAAATGAAAGCTCTCATCAGTCCTACGAGAGGTGGAAAATTTGGTTTATTTTTAGGCAGCACCTGTTTTAAAAAAGAGGCAGCCTGGTGTCAAGGCAGTGGGTATGTAATGGATAGAAGGCTTCTGATTTTTGAGTGGGGTTGAAAATAGCTCAGCGAGGGAATAAATCCCTTTCCTTCTGAGCCACCCTCCTGGAGAAGCTGCGGGAATTCCGTGCTCCAGGGCTAGGGCAGAGCAGGGGGTCAGGGTGTGCAGGGGCACGACAACGCCGTGGTGTGTCGCGACATGGTGACAGTGCCACCGTGTGATGGCAGCGTGTCCCTTATTGTCCRTGGCAGGGCTTTATGGCACTGCTGGAGATGTGAGGTGATCACAGCCGGTCATCACGGGGTACTGCTGTGAGGTGACATCACAGCTATCGCGACAGGTGAACAGGTGACGTCAGACAATGACAACACAACTGTAGCGACAAGTGACGTCAGGGGAGGATCACGACTATCGTGACATATGACGTCACGCGATGACATCACACCCGGGGAGCGAACTGCCCCGTCACTGCGGGCCTTTAGCGCCCTCCCTTATATAGCGGCCAGCAGGTCCCGCCCCCTGAGCCCGATTGGCTAAACTCCCCAGGAGCGTGTTTTTGATTGGTCGGGGCGGCTGTCAATCAGGGGCGGTGCCGTGTATAGCACCGGGAGGCCATTGTGGCTGGGGCAGCGGGAGGCGGTGGTTGGGGCCGGACCCGCCGCGTCCGACCCAGGTGAGGGGGCGGCCGTGAGGGGCGTGCTGGGGCGGCGGGGCTGGAGCCGGGGCGGGACGAGCCCTGCACCGGCCGGAGTCCGCGGCTTGTCCCGCGGCGCCCGCCCGCCGCCGCGCGGGCAGAGCCGGGGCGCCCCGCGGGCCGCTGCCCGGGCCCGGCCACCGCGGAGGGACGCGGGGGAGCGGCAAGGCCGGGCCCTGCCTCCTCCGGCCAAGCCCCCGTCCTGCCCGTGCCGCAGTGCCGGTCCCGCTGGGAGCCGCCTCTGCTCCTCCTGCTCCCCTCTCGTTCCGTGCCCGGCTCCGCCGGTGCCCGTGTGTGGCCGGCCCGGCGTTCGGCGGCCCCCAGAGCCCTGTCCGGGAAGGGAGCGGGACCGAGGGCTGCAGAACCCGCTCGGTGCGGCCGTGCCGAGCCCGGGCTTTCTGRAGCCGAAACCATTTCTTAGCAGAAGTTTTAGAAAAGATGTGAGAAAACTGGTTTTGCTTGCTTCTTACATAAACAGCAAAATTGGTTACAGCAGATGCACGTTTAAACTTTTTCTCTCTTTACACCAACTTGCCCTGGTAGAGTACTGATATCCTTTCAGTGTTTGCGTGTAACAGCTGAATGATACTATAACAGGTAGTGGTGAAATCTTCGTTTGGTCAGTAGTACTGAGGGTTGCTTAAASAGGAAAATATGCTTTCCAAGAGTTTCCAGTTGCAAGCTACCTCTAAACTCTGCTGTAATCCCTCGGCATTACTCACCTACTGCTTTGTTGCACTTTCGGTTTAAAGGTTGTGAGTAGAGGAATGTARCTCATTGTGGTTTTGTAGCTGGACTCTTACCTTTTGATACATATTGCTGTAAAGATTAAAAAATACCCCTTGACRCTATTGAATGATAGTGCTTAAAAGGGCACACCTGAATTTTAAGTGCTTTTGCAAGGGTGAATAAGAGAATAGCGGGAGATTTTCTGCACGGAATTCCCATATGTTTTCATAAATAAGTACATGTGTGTGTGTGTTTGTATGTATGTATATTTATTGTTAATATTGTCAGCAGTAGAACTTGAGCTTAATGCTTAAAAATCAAGCTAAGCATTGTCTGTAATAACATTTCTGTAACCAAAACAACCCTGGGCATGTGCTCCCAGTCTGTTTGTTTCATAAGCCTTTGACTTGAAACTATCCAGAGGACAGATCTGGTTAATAGTAAGTTGCCATTTTGATAAATATATTTTAGGGAAGTGTCTATTTAATACAGGGCATTTTCTATAGTGCAGTTGGTTTCAGCTTCTRAAGATTTCTCACTGGAATTCTGCGTAAGCCTGCTACTGGCAGATTTGGTGTGTTGGTTATTCTTCTAAGAGGAGAATAATGGATAAGTACTTATTTGGCAGTTATACTTCTTAGTTGCTCAACAGGAAATCTGTTCTTATTTGGGGCTCTTGTCCCTCGAATGGATTGTCTGAAGTCTTGTGAACAGCTACAATCCCATGGCACCTAATTTTACATTAATGTGTATGTTTGGAGTAAGATATGTGCTGATGCGTCCAAGCAACTTGATGCCCAAGTGAAAATTAAGACTCATGAAGAGTATTTGCACAGACAATTGCAAATGTGTTGAAATACACAAAACTTGAGTGTTCTGATGGCCAATTCTCTCTTTGCATGTTGTCTAAAAAGCTTGTCCTGATCTCCAACTGATTTTAAAAAAGTGGCTTTGTACAGACAAGGATTCTTACAGGGAGACTTTTTCAATATCAAGATAATTTTGTTTTCCCGTGTTTCTTTATCTCTCTTAAAGAAAAAATGTTTCATTAACCCCTGAAGAGGTACATCATAGTTCTTGTTTAACTAACAAGTTGATATCTTGTAACTTTATACCCAGTTTATGCAAAATCTGTACTTCTTTGGTTTTGTATGTAAGTCCTTGCAGAGAGAGAATCTTGACCTTCCAGCTGTACCTTTCTTCCAATAATGAAGGTGTAGTGAAAATACCATAGTTGCTCAAGATTTGTTCATCAAAAAACTTGAYACCTCAGAGTGCATAGCTTTGGAGTAATAAAAGGGTTAGAAAGAAGAGTGGGATGTACTAGGAAAGTCTGGGAGCTGCTCTTGAGGCATCACTTTGGTCTCATGTTAGTGTAATCTGGCTGTGGAACTGCATCTGATTGCCCCTAAAATTACTGTGTAGGAGATATCCTTTYCTTCCTTCTTCCCTCTGTTCCTGCYGTGATAGAGGCAGAAAGTTGGTAGCCCGCATTTTCCCTTTGCTGATTCTTTCTTCTCTGTTTTTTTTCTAAAGCTTTTAAGAGGAAATGTCGARTAAACTGACTGTCTAAATTACTGCTGGAGGTGACCCAGTTGAATGTCTGCTTCTTAGAATGCTGCATAGATTTTGAGAAACTAGAAGGTAAAAGGGGCTCGAGGCATTTCTTCAGAATCTCTTAAGGCTAGCTATTGCATTTGGTTTAAACTCAGTCCTTAACAGGATTTGGAGGTCTTCCACCTATTTTGCTGCAGATTCCTGGAGTCCGTCTGCTGACTTAAACATGGAAAAGATGCTGCTCCCTCCTACGTGCAMTGAGGAAGAGAGAAATCCAAATTCTAATTCTTGAAGCAACAAAAAGTTATTTGCATGTCTTTGTGCCCTTCTAGGGTGGGTGTCTGTGTTCCTCTTGAGGCTTTTCTGGTTTGCATTGGCTCACAAATATTCTGTAGGGCCAGTGAGGAGAGACACAAGCTGTTCTTTCTGTAGCCAAAGCAGACAGCACAGGACACAGCTGCTCCGGGGGAAGGGGCTGCTTGCATTTCCTGTTTTAAGGAGCAAGTTTCAAGTGATTTGCCTGTGCAAATAACTCTGGGCTCTAGTGKCGCTATCTGTCATAGTGAATGCAAAATTAAAAATGGGAGAAGTTGTTAGAGAGCTCTTCAGTAATTACTGTGGTAATTTTCTTCTAAGGTTTGGAAGAGGGATGAATACCTAGGAAAACTGGTGGTCTGTGCTCTTGTTAGTGTAGCACTTCAGAGCTAAAGAGRTTTAGTCCATTATGGTGCTCTCTGATGTGATTACTTACCTCTAATTCATTCTTGACAGATGGATTTCAGTTACTCTGTTGTGGCAGGAAAGTCTCTTAAACTGTAGCACAAAGCTCTAATTCTGTAGTACTGTAAGGACACTGGCTGATAGTGTGGGGTGTTGTGGTATGTATAAATGGAAAGGAGAATGTGTTGCTATACATCTGGATCAGGGGACATTGCTTGGCAAAGCCCTCCTTGAMATTTCCTGCTGAGCAAGGCTGAAAGGGATGTTGGAGAAATTGCAGCAGCCACATGGATTTGGGGGGCAGTTTTTTTTTTTCAAACCTGTTCTGCTGTTTTAATCAAGTCTTTTATTTAAATCCTGTTTCCTTCTCCATGGATGTCTGCTGTCACTTTTATCTGTGTTCTCAGTTTGAATGACATCAGTTTAAATTTTCTTTTTCCCTAAGAAATTAGTACAGTTCTAGCACATAGTTGTAGTAGTTGTAAGTTATGGAGCAGCCTTCAAGGAGTAGAGAGTTGTATTTGGGGGTTTTTGCTTTTAGAGCTGTTTACTTAGCTGCTTTTTGTTTGAGGGATTGGGGTCGGAACATGCATTCCATCAAAGCTATGAAAGCTGTAATTATTGTGTGTCTGCAAGTATTTTTCATTAACAGTGGTAATACATGAAACTGAAAGCATGTTTGTTAAATGGTGTGCTGTTGAAAAATTCATATGTATTGAAATATGTATAATATTTTCCATCTTTTCTGCCTGAAATTAGTGAGATATTGAACATTTGTTTTCTTTCTTTTTGTTTAAGATTTTGAAAACTTACCAGGTCCCTGAGAGAGAAAACTACATGACACTACACCATGACTGACAGTAAATGTGATAGTCAATTTTACAGTGTTCAAGTTGCAGATTCAACATTCACTGTGCTAAAACGTTACCAGCAATTGAAGCCCATAGGATCAGGGGCACAGGGCATTGTTTGGTGAGTAATAAATACTTTATTTAAATATAAAAGCTATAAATATAAAGCAAAATTTGCATATATTTCTGATAGAGGTACCAGAACATCAAATACTCATAATCAATTCTCTTGTTACAGGGTTATGGACTAAATAAATTCTAAACCAATTGCTTGCTATAGTTCATGTGCAAACCTATTTTTTTTGTATTTTAGGGAAAATTAATATTTGGATAACTGCATAAATTAGAATGGTCAACAAATCTCTTCCTTTCTCATTAACCACTTTATTTGTGTTTCTAGTTCTCCCATTCCCCTTGTAGTTGTGATATTGCAGTGTAAGGTATGACARTGGTGAGAGATTCTGGGTTTTACTCGTTTCTTCATCATGGCCCCCTTTCTTCCCCCTCTTTTATTCCCAATCACTCCTGTCCACTTCTAGGAGCCATCAATGCAGTGCCTTGCCATTAACTGGCAGGATGAGGCAAATCAGTGTCATTGTCACTCCATGGATTAACCAGAAAGGGATGCTGTGTGAGGGGTTGGGCTGGCCGGCTCTCCCTTGGTGTGTCACCCCAGCTTTGTGTCCAGCCTCCAGTGGCCCAGGACGTGGGAGTCCTTAGGCTGATCCTGGACCTTAGCCTCTTGTATGGCACCACACCTCTGGGCCAGCTAAAGGTAAACACTTTCAAATGTTTTTTAGACTGCAGCAATCCATTCTGCACAACTTAGTGCCAGCCCATATTTTGTTGGGCAAAACTTACTTGGTAACAGCAGAAATGTTTATTGATGTGGGTTTTAATTCCATAAACAGGGGAGCAAACAGATGTACTCAGGAGCTCTGTGATATTAACTTAATCACAACACATAGTGGGCTGTTCGTGCTTTGAATCCAGCCTGCAGTTTATCTTCATCTATAAAATCTGCAGAATAAGTGTGATGACTCACATACTGTGAACAACTCCTTATACAGCACCTGYCCATGTCTTCTTGGCCTTTTTGTAACCAAAATAAGTTATATAAGTAGGAAAACAGTGTATTTTTGTGAAAGCATGCCTTTATTTTTAAATTTTTTAGATTCCCCTATTGCCCTGCTGATAGGTGACAAGCAAAATGAGAACATCATATTTCATTCCTCTTCAGTGGGTTAAGTGATGGGGGAGGTCCTAGATCTTGGCCATTAGGTTTGGGTAAGATTTAGTTTAGTGCTGACCTTTTCCAGGTATAAGTGTTCTCAGAGTTATGCTTGGTTTAGATGGCATGCAGGAATTTGGGGTGGTTGAAAGCATTTCTCCTTTCATTAAAASCAGAGCATTTCTAAGCCAAATGACTTTGACTGTTTCTATGCTTCCAAATGAAATGTAGGTAGTGTTAAGGTCAATGTGTTGGGAGGAAGAAKAAATGATTTGATTTATTGACTTGTTTTGAAACTGCTTGATTTATGGAACAACAAAGTGAAACACTGTATAAATTTCACTTCCTGTGAAATAGCTCAAGTTGAACAAGGTGCAAAATCGTAATTTCTTCTGAAATCTCTTATAGTACACAAGGGAAAGATACAAAATACTAAAAGGTAAAATGTAGAAAACTCCGTGTAAGAGGAGTCCTATCCTACTATGTTTGACTGAAAAATTTGCCAAGCCATTAGTGTAACACACAGATGTGATGGTTTTTTTTATCATTGAGTGTTTAACATAAAAAAGGGAAAKTGTTTCTGGAGTTTTGTGTCTGGATTTCATTTCTATTATGAGAAACTTTTAGTGCTGCTTGTGTCACTTCAGCTAGGAGATGTCTGAATTTTCCTTTTTTTTTTCTCATGATGTTAATGGAAAACTCCATTGGTCTTGCTTCATATAGTTTTTATCTTTGATATTAAAATGTAAGAAAATAAGTAGGTTTAAAATACATACTTAGGAAAAATGGAGCTAGAAGAAGATTGAAAAGTAACTCAATTGTTATGTAGAGGACATTTCTAACTCATACTGCAGACAGGCTAGGAGAGAAATTGGATATACCTTTCGTGTTTTATGTACAAAGCACACACGTATTTAACTTACTGCACTTTGTTTCTAACTACTAATACRTCTGAAGTCTTGTAATCTGTTTTGGACTGAATCAAACTAACTTCTGTCTTCAACTTCCTGACATCTTTTTTTTTGTTTCTTGTCCTTGATTTCCTAAATTTTCTAGTGAMTCTCCAAAATAAGAGGTTCAGGGAGAGTTCTTCATATGTGTTTAGACTGAGATTTGACATACATCTGGTTTGTCAGATCACAGAGGGAGACTTCCCCTAAAATTATTCCTCTGTCCACTGCTGCCCTGTGATTTACAGCTTATTTATGTGGACCTGTTGGTTACTGATTTGATACTAATTCACTAGTCACTAACTTATGAAAGTCATTAAAAATTAAAGGCATTAATTAACATTAAAAATTAATTTACATGTAGCATGTTTTGGGTGAATACTGAAATATCAGTGTTTTTGTGTTTGGGAGGAAAATAATTTCTCCAACTMTCTGGCCAGTTGCTTTCCTCCCACTTTGTGTTTCCTTTTGCACAGGCATAAAGGCTTTAAATCAGAGGCTGATTTAACATTCAATAATGACTTATGCATTTCACAGAGCTAAGCTGAAATAAATGAAAATCTTTAGTGTAAGTGGCACATTGGTTCAAATTTGGAGGCATGTCCCAAGAAAACACATCATCTCCTGGTGAGCCCTGCTTTGTGGTGGTGTTKCTTTTTCCAGGAGGGAAAGCACTGACTTTATGCTGGGAAACTTGATATAAAATTGAGTACTGTTGTTCTCCCAGGAAAGCTGTACTTTCTGTAAAAATACTGTAGTGTGATGGTCCTTTTAAGTCTAGTGTCACATATATCCCGATGAGATAGGRAAGAAGCTCACAAAGAGCTTAAATGTGCTTGGAAAATATGTGAATGAGRATTCTTTCCTACCCTATGAAAGTAACATTAAATGGAAATAGGGTAATGTGGGAATCCTTATTTAAAACTGAAACTATTTAAAGACTGGAAYTCCTGAGTAGTATRTTCTATGAATTCACATATATTTTGCCAAATAGTCTGTGTGCTAACAAGGAAYAATSTTCCCACTTTAGTCTTGATAGATAATTTAGCTTTATATCCGTACAGATATTAAAGCAAGTTTACACTTTGACCTCAAACTGTAGAGGGAAGGAACAAGCACAACTGAAAAACAGAGTAAAATTGATGGTCATGTTCATTTTTGAACTTTTGTATTGCTTCCTTCAGTCTAAGTTTTTCATATTTCTCAATTCAATGGATTTTTTTCCACCCAAAAGCACATGATGAATGTAATTTTCTGCTAGGCACTACAATTTTTTATCRTTGTAAACTATCCACAGGAGACTATTGATCCCTGCAGAAGGGGTCATGGAGGCATGGTTGTGACTCTCCTTTAGCAAAGAGAAATTTCTACTGCAAATACTAAATGATTGTCAGTCAGCAAAAGTGTCAAAAAATATTCCAGATATACAGATTAGGCAGCTGGAATGCTTCTTGATTTCAAATAAGCCTAAAATATTTTTAGCTCTTGCAATTTTGACTGTGAGTTTTGAGTCAGCAGTTTTAGTMTAAAGACAGAAAGGAGAGCAGGAAGACCTCTAATAAAATGTCAGTGGCTTCTGTTTGTCTTATTTGTATTTATTAAAGGATGTTTCTTTCCTGAATTAAAATTAGGTGAAGTTAGTACAAATGGATTAGTGGATATGCTTTGTCTTAAATCTTGTTTCCATTCCTTCCTCACTTTGCCTGCCTTTTGCCCCCTCCTCTCCCTCAAACAGACTTCATTTTGTTTGTCTTTGAACACTTCTAGTGCTGCGTTTGATACAGTGCTTGGAATCAATGTTGCTGTGAAGAAGCTGAGTCGTCCTTTTCAGAACCAAACCCACGCAAAAAGGGCCTACAGAGAGCTCGTTCTGTTAAAGTGCGTCAATCACAAAAATGTGAGTCGGGCTTTGTGTTTGTCTTGTTACTGTGAGTTATCAAAAGAGCTTAGGATTTGCTCTCTCACTTGTTGTCAGTAACCAAAGGAATGGAAATAGTGACAGACTGGGAAGACTTGCTGTGGGCAATGCAGTTCTCCACAATGCATGGCTCGGTTTTTGGCTGAGCTGTTTTGGGGTGTGAAGTGTTAAGGGGAGGAGGTTTTTGCTGTGTTGTTGGTACCGGGCTGCCATCAGTGTCAAGTTTAGAGACCAGGCCTCACTCTTTTGCATTTGCCCTCTTTAAGCCATACTGCAGCAAAGCCTTTTTGGCACTGGGATAGTTTGTGAGTTTGACCATTGAAATGTCACTGTATTTAAATCTGAGCAAGCTTAGGCAAGTTTTTTATTAAATACAGTGTTTAACTGGTGGGTTTTTGCAGCACTGWCTACAAAAGTGAAATGTTATGGGTAATAATTGTGACTTTTGAAATCTTTAAACCTTATAAAGTGAGCCTTGATGTCAATACTTCATTTTTCAAATGCAAGAGTATATGGTTTATGTGACTGCTATGTTTTGGTACTAACACGAACTACAGACATTGCTGGTCATTGAAGTTGTGCAGTCAAGTCTCAGACTTCCTGCAGTCAGTTAGCCTTTCAGGATTGATTTTTAAGTAAGCTTAAGGTGAGGCCCTGATGTAGCAGAATAAAAAGCAAGGTGGTTATTAAAGATGGCAGTACAGTCAYTKTAGCAGTTCTGGAAATAGTACATCATAAKCTAAGTTGAATGGGATGGCATGGGGCACCTCCATGCACGTGGTGTTGGACAGGCTTGATTAAAATTCCTTGCACAGCATGTGATTTAAAATAAGAGATTATTATTATTTATGGGGGGAAATGGGATATGTTTCAGGCACTGRGGAGGGAGATAAAAGGTGTCATATAACTTTAAAAAAAATTAAATTATTATGTACYGTCTTGATTCCTTTGGCTGGCACACATGCTGCAGTTTGAAACTATTTCTGAACTGGCAGTTTTTCAGCATATGTGAATTAACTGCAGCCAAGTAACATTCAAATCGTGTGTATAGTAACAGTGTGCACTTTATTTTGTATAGTAACTTCTGCAATAGTGGAGTTTTATGTGAATTAAAACAGAAGTTTCTCCTAATATTTGTTTTTATTTTATAGATTATTAGTTTATTAAATGTATTTACACCACAGAAGTCACTAGAAGAATTTCAGGATGTGTAAGTACTAGATTTTTTTCATTTTCTCTGACAAATACTGGCCTAAGCTCTAGAGATGGATTTCCAGTGTCCTACAGACTTCATGCATTGAAAATCAAGAGTAGCTAAAAGCTGAAGTGGGAAATGAAAAACGGGTATTTACCTTTTATTCATCAGTCTGCCATATTTTGCTTGCATATGCATCTGGTTTGTGTGGATTGTCCTTCAGCCACGTGGATCACMTCAGGTTAATAACTTTGTCTGGATAATATGTGTACTAGTCATATCAGCACAACGGTATTTTGGCCTCAATTCAGAACTGAATGTATTTCTTTTTTATTYAAGCATTATCAATTGGTCTAGAAAGGATTCATGGCCATTTGATTGGTGGGATATCCCTAGGTTCCAGTGAATATGCTGTGGGGGATTTGTGAATAGGCTACTTGGGTAAAGGAGGGAATGTTTGTGTCTGAAGAGGGTAAGTAAATGTCAATTGAAACTTATTTTACGTTTCTTAGTTTTCACTGTGATTATCCTAATTTTCTTATTTTTTAGAGTAAAATACAGTGAAAGAGCATTTATGGTGCAATATCTGCAATCTCTGCTTCAGCTTCACTCAGTCATAGTTTTTCTTGATGCATATAGACAGAATTATTCCCTGTATTGCTGTTTATAAAACTWGTGGAATTTTAATATTTTGTGATGGAATATTGAGCAGTTAATTTTTAGTATTAAAACTTTTTGAATAGATCATTTTACTTTACAACTGGGATCATGTGTGGGTTTTTTGATAATTGGCTTTTTGACTCTTAGGTTAGCAAAGTAGTTGATTTTTCTTAAATATCTCTTAGGCCAAACCTGAACCTCATATGAAAACTAAGACTTGATTTTTCCTAATGCTTTTTTTTTTTTTTTTTTTTTTTTTTTTTTTTTTTTNTTGGTTATGGAGCTGATGGATGCAAATTTGTGCCAGGTTATTCATATGGAATTGGATCATGAAAGAATGTCTTATCTTCTTTACCAAATGCTATGTGGTATTAAGCATCTCCACTCAGCTGGTATCATCCACAGAGTAGGTAGTAGTAGATCATTAACAATACTCTTTGTGATCACAGTTGTTATGAAACCTTTATGAAAAGGGAGGAAGGGAAGGGGTTGTATAAATAAACATGTCCACCAGAGCTGGAAAATGCAGTTGTTAGTAATGTAAATTTTTGGCTTATACTGATTGTGGAGTGCATAGTGGGTGTGTGAGTTTTATTCTGTATGTTAATCCTTCCTTAACTGAAGTAATTTCTTGYTAGGATTTGAAACCCAGCAACATAGTAGTAAAATCAGATTGCACGCTAAAAATCCTTGATTTTGGACTGGCAAGAACAGCATGTACTAACTTCATGATGACTCCATATGTGGTAACACGGTATTACAGAGCACCAGAGGTTATCCTTGGAATGGGATATAAAGAGAATGGTAAGTTGCTGGATTAATGCTTTAAATCTTCTGTCTAAAGTATGTTTCCCTGCTTTAAAAAGAGGAGGGAGGGCTGGTTTCCCTCTTTGAAGTTTGTTGCTGAAGTATTCTAATCATGGTATTGAAAATTAAAATTATTACTGTGTTTTTTGTTGAGAGTATAATAGTTTTCTGTTTTGTGTCCCTTTCCTGATTTAACATTTACTGCTCCCTCTCCCCTGCTATAGTTATCTCTTGTCATATATTCACCTATTATCCTTTTGCCATGTTTTTTATTCTCAAAAGAACTGTTGAGACTTGATGCTGGCTGGTATAAAATAAACAAACCAAAGGATCAATATATAAATAATTAACCCTTTAATCAATGGGATTTATTCTGAAACATCTTCTTTTGGCAGTGTGTCTCTTTTTGCCTCTCTGATTATTAAYATAGGCTGCAGATCCCTATCATAAACCATGTCTTATATTCTCTGCATTGTACTTCAAGAGGCTGGGGTGTTACATTCTTATAACCAATACAGCTGTAATATCTTTAACATTCAGCAAATAGAATTGCTGCCAAAGAAATTGTCCTTGCATTGCTGGGCATTTTACCTGCTAATTTTTACTAGCACTGGACTTGTTTTCTTTTTGCTTTATCACAAGGGCTTGTGGATGCCATGGTTTAGTATACCTGCAATTTTRGCTGTGTAAAACAAGGCACTTGTGGGAGCTTGCTGGGCCCTTGATAATGATAAAAACACTTTAATTAGTGCAGCAGGCAGCTCGTTGTACAGCATGTGCTGATGTGGATCAGAACTTCAGCAGAGATTGTTCTGGTTGGGACAAAAATTAATTATCTGCAGGACTGCGGGAATACAGTATGAGCTTACAAACAAATACTTGTGCTATTTAAAAAAAAATTTCTTTAATCTTTTGTCCTTGTTGCACCTAACATATGATAGTGGATATCTGGTCTGTTGGGTGCATTATGGCAGAAATGGTCCTCCATAAAGTCCTGTTCCCAGGAAGAGATTGTATCCTTCATGGTTGTTTCATGAGTGTAAACACTGACTACGTTTTACAAAATGGTAATAACAAAATTCAGGAGCAATCAATTGGTGTTGATATGATTGAAAATTCATGTGAGCRGTTTGGTTTTCCACGTTGTTGTGTTTTACTGTAGATGCAGATGGTTTTGTTTGTTTTCCTCACATTTGTTCATGATACTTCATAATTTGATCATTTCACTTTTGTTTTCAGTTGATATCTGGTCAGTTGGGTGCATCATGGGAGAATTGGTGAAAGGTTGTGTGATATTCCAAGGCACTGATCGTATCCTTCCCTAGTCATCCTTGAATCCCATTCCACTTCCAACAGAAACACAATTCTATAGATCTGTATAAAAGCATAAACAATATTTTCTATAATATGTTTTACTRGATCCACTGTACTCTTTGAAATTAGTGTCATTAACCAAATTGTTGAGCTTTCCATTTTATTTTCWTAGTAGACTACCTTTCATGTAATTTGTAGTGGTTGAATCCAATGTGTTARGAGCTTCAGCTTTTGTAGTTTAAAAGGCAGATACTGCTAGGTTTGAAAAATAGAAAATATACTTAACTGCTTTTTTRCTCTTGTTCTTTGTAGATAAGTGTTTTAAGCAAAAACCTACAAAGTTACTTCTTAACTGTGCATGGATTTTGCTTATTGTTTGTTTGAACAGTAGACTCATTTTTTTTAATTGCACAATTTTTTTAGTTTCAATCAAATTTTTTTCTTGTTTATTAGCGCTTGCTGGGCAAAGGTGACCTAATGGCAAGCATCCTGCATGAGATCTTTTTTTATTACTGTTATTTAACATAAAAAGAAAAAACTTTCTGGAGGTTCTCTTTTTTTTCCATTTTATGAAAATTTTATTTTAGACTTAATTTTTCTGTAAGGTTGTTATTTTTCCATTTCTCTCTCCAATATTTTTGACCAAGATTTCATAGAATCATAGTTTCAGAATGTTTTGGGTTGGAAGAGGCCTTAAAAACCATCTAGTTCCAACCACTCTGCTTAGGGCAGGGACACCTTCCATGAGACCAGGTTRTTTCAAACCCCATCCAACCTGGCYTTGAATACTTCTAGGGATGGGGCAGCCACARCTGTTCTGGGAAACCTGTYTTTGWAATAGTGYGCCAGGTTTTTTAAGCCAATACAATATTTTTGCTCATCAACAAGGAGCAACCACCACTAAAAACATCAAGTGTCTATTTACAGATACYTGGATATCTTATAGAGGAGGACTTCCAATTTTAATGCTAAATTTCATGACACTAATCTTCAACAGTTGATCATACATTATTTAGTAGTATAATGATTGAACATTAAATAAGTATTTTTTTCTTCCTTTCTATACTTATTATTTTGCCTTTTGAAGCCTTCAGACCAACCTAACACAATTCTTCATGGATGTTATGTGTTTTCCACCTGCATGTTRTTAGCATGGGCTATTTTGATTTATTCATGAATAAATGAAGGAAATTTTGTTCGTACTTGTTGAATATGCAAGTTRTGATTTGTGATTCTCTCATGGTCACTGAAGCTCCACCTGTCTATGTTTCAAGGAGCCTCCTCCTCTGTTATGGAAGTGCATAGCTGTGCTTACAGGGATTTTTGCTTCACGTGAAAGTTTCAGTTCTCTTTAATGTGAGATGCTGACAACTGTTCTTGTGGTCGAGACTTTTCCTGAGTGATCACTGCGTGGGGCAGGTTGTCACCATACCTTCATCTGCAGGATTGTCTTGGCAGGTGGTTTATGGGCAGTGCTGCTGTGCATGGCCAGGAAGCTTTCCTTTTGTTGATTGTGTTTGGGGTTTCTTTTATTTGGTTGCTTTTTTTAAGTTAAATTTCAAAATGTCTTAGTATTTGGTCATCTAGAGGAGGGAGCCAAGTTGAGCTTATTATCCAATGCTGTGCCATCACTGTCTTCAGGAAAACCTACTCTTAGACTCAGTRATTTGWGTTTTCCCAGGTGGTGGATGGGGGKTTCTGGGATGCTTGCAGYAGTGCTCTGGGTGGAATGCAATGCTCTGCGTTGCCAGGGTGATGGATGCATGGAACCTGCTCCTCACTGTGCTGGGGAGGCCTGAGTTRCTGCCAGTTGCTGTTGTGCTGGAAATGAGAAATGTAGAAAAACAGGGAATGTAGATACCTAAAGTGAAATAATGGAAAAGCCTGGCAACAGCGGAGTGTTTTTGGTGTTCTCTGCCTATATGGAGAAGGAAACTGATTGCCTGACCWATGCAAGAAGCACGAGGGATATTTGTGCTTTCTTGGGGAAAAGTCATGCTTTATTGTGATTGTAATAAGGACTCTGTTTTCAACTTCTCCTCTTCTAGAGTCCCAAAAGGCAAATAGACTTGGCATGGATTAAATGCCTGGTTCCTTCTGACCCTGAAGTCTTTAGAATGGGGAGAGTAGTTTTGTCTGAAGGCTGCCAGGTCATTCACAGAGCTTACTCTGCCTGCTTTATACTCAAATCCCACTTGGGTTTCTGGTAAGAGGCTTATTTTAAGTCCATCCTATATTGAGAAKATTTTTTTCAACTTTCACCATCTGTAAAGCACTTTGAAACTGAGATACTGTTTTTTACCCATTTTTACCTCTAAAGTAGGACAGGTCATTAAGTTTTCTGCCCTCCCTGCACTCCTYTGAGACCTCAGTAAACTGGACTCTAATTTGATTATCTGGCTAACCAGGCTGCTGTTACTCAAAGGAAAAGCAACTTCCTGAATCTAGATCGGTGGAGATCTCATAAAAATCTATTTTTCAACTAGGAACAAAATTTCCTGTTGTATGTTAATGTTCTCTTTGTGCTCTGTTTTTGCATGAGTGTTAGCAATATTCATTTCTTAATTTTGATTTTAATACAGCTTTTCCATTGGAATGCATTCAATAAGCAAATAAAATTTTCAATCTTTGTGTTAGAAATCTAAAATCTTAGCATGAAGCAGTGACTATACACRTATTTCAAATTGTGTTCTTGGCACACTAACTGAAATAGAAGCATCTCTTTGTTTTATGTATAGTTCTTAATTCAAAGTACAGCATGTTTGTTGTTTAGTTGCATAATCTGTCTACCAGAATGGATTGGTTGAAGTGCTAGGTTGTGAATTTAGCTATGAATGTTTGCAAGGTCAATGGATAGGCTCTGCTGGAATTGCACATTCTTTTTATCAGGAAAAAGTGGGAAGTGTAAATCTGAGTAGACTAAAGTATCAGGAACATTAATGCAGTGTCTTCTCAGTGTGATAAATGAGCTTTGTTTCCCCAATGAGGCTGGTTCAGAGTAGGCTCTGGTATCTCTGTAAYGAGTGTCACCATGTCTGGGGAAAATGCCTTCGCCTGAGAGAGGGAGAAGGGACAGTCCTGAAGAAACATGAGGCACGATTTCAACTTGTGGCTTCTAAATACTGTTCTTACAAAATATTTAGATTTTGAACTTAAGAAGAGTTATCTGTATTACCGTGGTTGTTATGCTTAAACAAAGGAACCTGGTGTAGAACCTTCTGGAATATGGATTTCCTGTTCAGAACTCCTCTGGACCTTATCTGAAGCCGAAAAAGGAAAAGAAACAATCCCACCCTAACACCAACCAAAAAAAAGCCCYCAGCAATCCACCTATTCCCCTACAAAATGCTCCAACCCAAAGCTTGATTTCCTGAGGAGACAGGTACAAAATTCCGTACTTTGCATGGGATGCATTTGTACTTTAGGGTTTTTTGTGTATTTTTCTCTACCTTCAAGAGTCTTCACTGTTCCTCTTGTTATGTTGCACTTCAGAAGATTCCACATGAGCCTTTCTTTTCTGACCTTAGAGTTGTTTTGCTATGGATACAACTGCCAAGTAAAGTTTTTGGACTCCAGAAAAATATTATAATTAGAAAAAGATTCTTAAGCATAATGCATTCTGCAGCACTTCCGGCCTGTCCTTCAGATTACAAAATCTGAGTCTTACTTTTGTGTCAGTGTAGCTTTTTGCATGGCAGCTCAGAATACTGCTGATGCTACAATGAAATTCGTCTCTGTGTCCTCTSTTTGTTTCCATTAACTTCTCAGATTTTGTAAGTGGTGTTTTTGTGTAGTGCAGACCTCAAATTCTTCRGCTGATTTTCCTAAAGATACGGTGCAGATATTGATCAATGGAATAAAGTTATTGAACAATTAGGAACACCATCCACAGAATTCATGAAGAAACTGCAGCCTACAGTGAGGAATTATGTWGAAAACAGGCCAAAATATCTCGGTATTAAGTTTGAAGAGCTCTTCCCAGACTGGATATTTCCATCAGAATCTGATCGTGACAAGTTAAAAAGTAAGGCGAGTTTTTCCTCTTTCTTTTTCTATGATGATAGTTTAAAATATCTGCAGCACACATAATTTAAAAACTTAATAAAATGTTTATTGCAGTAGGTGTCAACACTAAAAGCTGYATACTTTGTTTCTTTCCTTTATGATAAGTTTTGGGATCTTAGTTACTAAATACACATTATTTCCCTGTCTGTCCCCAGGATTCTGTTTAAATCTTTAAATTTTAGTTCTCTGAATAATGTCTGTCACTTAATGTTCTGCAAAAGCATTACTTGTTATTAAGGTAATTGTTGATCATCTTTTCTAGTGCATACAGCTTATATTGACTATACCTTATCTTTTGATAATTACTGAGAAAATTAAAAAAACCAAAACCAATAACCCACCTTATTATATTCTCTAGAACATAAGTGAAATGTTGCTGTGTTCCCAATATTAATTTCCTTTGTCAGACATTAAACTCTACAGCTCTTTCACATGTGTGTTCTTTTCACCTTTACTTTTTAGCCAGCCAAGCTAGAGATTTATTGTCAAAAATGCTTGTAATAGATCCAGACAAGAGAATTTCTGTAGATGAAGCCTTACGTCATCCTTATATTACTGTCTGGTATGATCCAGCTGAAGCAGAAGCTGTAAGTTTGCAATTAAAACAAATTTTTAAGATTCCAATTTTATTATGTCAAAAATACCTTTAATTTTAGTCAAGAGCATGCTTTGAACTTGTTTATTGGCTAGCAGGAGTCACACAGGAAACCTTCAGATGAGCATCAGGGGCAGAATCACCTGAAGAACAGCTACTGGTGGGAAGTTGATATAATTTTGAGAGTGGTTGTTGATATTTCATTTTACTTTGCAGAAAGAGGTGCCTATTGCCATTGGTGGCAATGCATGGCTTGTTTGAAACAGGGACTTGCTCTAAAGCCCTTTGAAGCCTTACAATTTAATTTTAGTTGATGCTTTTAAACAACCTTTCAGTGTGAGGCAGGACTTAAAAGCAGATTCTGGAGTTGTAAAATGAACGTGTCTTTGAGGCATGTGGAATAAACTGCCATCAATGAAGGTAAAAATTGCTAAAAAAGTTGTCATTTTTAGATTTTTTTAGTTGTGGTTGGGTGTGTTAACCTGATGTAGTAGACACTATAGATGTTTCTTTTCTTTGTAGCCTCCACCTCAAATCTATGATGCACAATTGGAAGAAAGAGAACATGCAATTGAAGAATGGAAAGGTAAGAAGTGAGCATGACAACTTACATTTATTGCAATATCTTGTGTTATTAATGAGTGGCTACAGTGTGTGCTGGATTGTGTAACTGACTGGAACCCACTTTTCCAAATAAGCAGTGCTGCCTGGGGCAACAGGAAAGGAAATAAATAATGGAAACATGTTGTGGGTGAAGTGAATACATACATAGGTGTGTGTATGTCCATATATATATGTAACATTCTCAGTTCTGTTCTGCTGTAGTTTTCTTTTTTCCTTCTCTTTTATTCTTAAGTATCATTTGTTTGTATCATTTTTTCATTGATAGAGAGTTCACTGAAAAAGAAACATGCCTCTTCTCAGTGTGCATTATTTAAGCCACATCTCTTGACAATATTTACTAGTTTATTTGTTCTAGAAATCCTAAATAGCAGGAGAGTTCTTTGGTGTAGTTTTTTTTTTTCCTAATCTCATTGCTTATTTATTGACCAAATAGATTGAACTGTTGACTTAAACAAAAGAATAAACACCACTGTGGTATTGAAATCAATTCCACCTTRCAGGTTTAGTCAAACCCATTAAAYGGTGAGGCAGTTAAAATTTTAACATCTGCCATCACAAGACCAATGATAATAGACATCTTTTATGACTACTTTGAAAGCTGCTTGCTTTTGTAAAACAGCTTTATAAATTTCAGTTATTGATTCTGGCTGATACATTCATACGTTATCCTTAGGGCATGCCTGCACAGGTAGGTAGGCCTCAAATCATCTTTGATTACTGCAAGGTGGASGAGTAAAATGGATCAGCTAAATCTAATGGAATGCCTTTGTAAACATTGTTACTCAGAATTAAAGAGTTCTTAATCTATTTAGRTACTGTTATCTACGGCACCTTAAGACTATGGCTATATACAGAAGCTTCTGAGATTCAAATTACAGCTGTGTTTTTTTTCTGGTTGTTGTTTGGGTGCCTGTATCCTAAGTTGTCCTTGATTAGTAAATGAGGGTTTTCATACAGTATTTTAACTGTTTAACCTTCTTCAAAATATCCAGACTTTCCTCAATACACTTATGGAGATGRTTCTTCAAGAATAAATATTTGTGTATTATTTTGTTGTCAAAGTAAGATTTCCCGGATGTTTTGCATAAAATCTGATATTTAATTTTCTTTTACAGTTAACGTTGGTGTATTGTAGGAATGCATAAAATTTTGGGGTGGGATATTTGTTATTTTTARGTGGACAGCTATGGTATGTATGTAATATGTTGGTTTTGGTCCAGTCCTAATATCTTTCTGTGAATTGTATGCAAATCCTCTGTGATCTTACATTGTTTTTTCTGTCTCTTCTCTCTTTCSTCCCACCGTTCTCTCATAAGAATTAATATACAAAGAAGTTATGGATTGGGAAGAAAGGAGCAAGAATGGTGTGGTAAAAGATCAGCCCTCAGGTTAGTCATTGTTTCAGTAGTTCTATAACAGTCACGCATAGTGCTGGTCTAGTGAATGAAGAAATCCTGCTTGGTAAYCCAGGTAGGCAAAGCTTTTGTTGTTTGGGACTCTTGAGACTGATCTGCCTTTGAAGATCCTTGTGGTCTGGTTTTTTATTATGAACTTTTAGAAAAACTTCTCTAATGTTGTGTGAGTCACACCCTGAGCTTCCTTCTCCCCAAAGGGCTCAGTCATCAAATGAAATTATTAACACCACATGACCTCACCTGGTGCATTTGTAACTTCTGTGCTGAATKCTGTTCAGTGGCTCAGCATGAACCCCTTTCCTTCAGGGTTGAACTGCATTAGGGCTCCCTCAGAATAGTTAACAGTGCAAAGTATTTGTGCCCATGATTGAATCCTTGTGTTTGCTATTTTCTCATGGCACAGTAATCAGAATATTGCACTGTCTCTTATTGAATATATCCCTTAGATTTCTTGACACTCAAGTTCACTATTCACACTGTGCACTGTTTGTTCTCCCTTTCTGCCACGGGGAGGGAGAAAAATAAAAATCTCTTGAAAGGTCACCTTGGCTTCTGAGTGCTAGGGCCCTTAGTGCTTGCTTTTCTCCTTTTTTATTAATTCCTCCATTTTCTAAGGATTTCTGTGGGTAAAGTGTTGCTCACAGCCCAGAAGCATGGTTATTTGTGTCTGCAATATTGTCTTGCCTCAGATTTTATTATGTTTGGTTTTCTTAGCACAGATGCAGCAGTGAATAGCAACACCAGTCCTTCCCAGTCATCATCTATCAATGACATTTCATCCATGTCAACAGAGCAAACATTGGCCTCAGACACAGACAGCAGCCTGGATGCCTTGACAGGACCCCTCGAAGGATGTCGATGATCAGCCACGATTGCAGACTTGACTTTGGAAAAGAACTCTTGTTTCCATTGGGCCTGAATTGCTTGTGAGTTAATGGAACCAAGTAGAAAAACTCCATGTTCTGCATGTTCTGCCTGTTGTTTTTTTTACTCAGTTGTTATGAAATTGCCTGCTTAATGTTATAGAATAAAAGMAAATCAATGTCTAAAGAAAAAAACTTTTAAATTTAGACACTATTATAGGCTTTTCTTTGTTTCAGCCTATTTCAGGTGAGCAGTTATAATAGACTTTTAGCCAATAACTCCTCTTAAGTAGGTTCATCAATCTCCAGTCCCAAGTGGCAGGCTTCTGTGACACAGTGGTTGTTTACATTTTAGTACAGTATTGCTCATTAGTAGGTTTTTTGAATGTATAGTCCCTATGAAGTTTGTTTCAATGTGTGACTGTGGCAGTTTGCTTTATTTAACAACTGGAGTGTTGTGTGTAAGTGTGAGCTCACATGTAGAATACTCTCAGTACTATGTTTAAAGGGCAGTTTTTCTTCCACATAGCACTTTGTTTTTTAATTAAGCCCTTTCTATCTTCACTTTTCAGCAATTCTCTCTTCTTGTAGAAGAGATAAACGTGAAATTTAAAGCATAAAGCCATTACTTTGTATTTCACCTGAGTGTCTAACTTTTTCTGTCTCTTGAATGTGGATGGAAGGTACAGTAGCTTAAACAAATCTTGAGGAAGGATGAGTGACTTTTCTGTGAAGCAGTGCCTGTTTAGAGGAGGAGAGTGTGCTAAAATGTCCTGTATTTTCTAGCTTGTGATACTCATCCTTTAACAAACTTTAAACAGAAGAAAGTTTATCTGTGATGCTCTTCATTCACTGCAAACTGATAAAAGGAGAAATGGCTTGGAGAGACTTGCAGCCTCAAAAAGCTGCATRAATATTTTCCATTTTTTTAATGGGTCCATTCTATCTAGTGAGTAATTAAAGAAATAAAAGTACAGTAGTTCTGAGTCACTTGTAAATTAATATTTAGTTAACAGAGCTTAGCTCTATTCTTGCCTTAGGAAAACATCTCTATTTGTAGTGGAGAAGACAAACATAATAAATACATATTTCCTAAATGCAGTGTCAGACAAGAGGAGGAGGTTATTTGCTATTTCCATACAGACTTATCAATACTGTTTTCAGAATCAGATAATACAAAMTTGCCTGTTACATTGCACAATCTGTTGAATTAGAAAATGCATTTGCAGTAGAGTAGGGCTTAAATTCCTTTGTAACACATATGACTTTGTGCATGTTCACTTTGGAATGCACAGGTGAAACTTAGCTAAAGGATYTCATGTGTGCATTTGTGTGACTAAACTATAGAACTGTAATAGAGATGTACAAGATGAGTGTAAAACACCACTTTCTTAAAGGCACTATGTTTAGCTGTTGATCAGATGCTCTTGTCTTGAATATATATATGGAACCTGTAAAATATACTGGCCCAGACAGCCACTGCATTACTGACATACTTCTCTTGGAAAACACAATTGTCCATTGTTCCACACTTTATGACTAGAAAAGCAGCCCTTTCTCCTTATGCAAACATTGCTTTTATATTAAAAGTTTATCCTTTTTTAGTAGCTTAATTTGTTGTAGCAAAAAATATTTAGATTTTAGTGTCCCAGAAAATTTCAAAAACCAAATTAATTAGTGTTAAATTCAGAATTGTATTCTGGCATCTCTGATTTTTAAAATTGTATTTAATTGAATTGCAAGATACTAGGGCTTGTGTTTTTCCATATTGCTTGGTTTTAAACCTATGGATAAGTTACTTTTATTTTGAATACTGATGGTATATGTGAAATACTTTTAGGGCATTCTTGTCACTGGGAAAACGTTTAAAAATACCTATCTACCATACAGCAGAACAGTACGGTTTGCTATTCATTTGCTTTTTTTAGTCCTTATTTGTGTAAGTTAAAATAGCTGAAGACACCTTTTTACAATGAACAATTAGTGATTCATTATGGAAGTCATCTGCTGGATTTAATTTTTCAAGACTTTAAAATTTTTCAGCTGGAGGTRCACTGTGCTATGTTAATTTTAACTGTTCCTGCTTTAGAAGACTTAAAGATTTATTTCTTTTTCCCCATGTGGTTTGAATATTCACAGCRTTGAATGTTTCCTGTTGGACTTGGCTGCTCAGCACAATGGAGGGTTGGACCAGATGACCTCCAGGTCTCTTCCAACCTAAATTATTCTGTTGATTCACATTGTCTTTTAATGTTTTTACCAAAACTGTCCTGTCTTCACAACTTGAGCCRGTATCTGACCTTCTCCTAGTACATACTGTTAGCTTGAAGATACACTCTTGGAGCAAGAAAAGAAGCCTCAACCTTGAAATTAACTGAGTTTATTTGCAGGGAAAGCTGTCTCATATCTGATTTTTTTAATGTCTTCTTGCTTTGGCATACATTGAAGTGTAATTATAGAATGCCTTCAGAGCATGCATGAAATGTCTGTGAATATTGTAGATTCTGAATCCAGCTTAATTCAAAACCAAATTGCAAATGCACCTGGGTCTCCAGAGGACATATATGCAGATGATATCCACCCAAACCCGTGCAGGTGCATGCTGCAGTTCCCAGGCTATCCCACTGTGCACGTGTAGGCCCTCAATGCACTGCATGCAGCTTCTCCCCATATCACTGTTCCTGACTGCAAGGGAAATTCAGTGCCACGTTTGTGACATGGTTGTCAATGCTGCGAGAGCCTCCTCGCTGATGGAARACAAAATGCAATGTAACTTGACAGGGGTTTAAAAATTAAGAGAGTGTGGTGTGCAATATAATCACTTTTATTCCTAATACTAAAATTGTGTATGTAAAGTGATGCAATTGACCATTTTTTTGCACTTTGGCATTTATAAATATTTATATGTATTTAAAGATTAAGAATATGTGCGTGTATACATAGATATTAAGAAAACAGCTCAGTTTTGTAAACATGAATGTTACTTTCCTTTGAGAGACTTTGTATAGTGTTAACACTACTGCAGTATACATAGACAATTTATGAGCTATGACTAAAATAAATGGTGGTCACCATAGATACAATCTGTAAACTTAACTGCTCACCTGAAAAAGAAAGGGATCTTTGGCTATCAATCAGATAATTTACCAGAAACTTGTTAAACATCTCAACACTGAGTAGCTGAATGGCATTGCAGAAATGGAGTATGTTTCAAACAGTTMATTTCATCTGTGCTCATATAATTTTTCCTCAAAAAAACCTTAGAAAGAAAAGCTTGGCATTTTGCAATCTGGGCAAGCAGCCTGTAAGTGTACTTTGAGGAAATACTGTGATATGACAAGTCTAGGTCTTTATGGAAAAAGACAAGAAACGAATGTCAAAATTAAGGCTTTGTCTGCATGGATCATACAAACTAAACTAGTCTAAGGACTGGAAACTACAGTTTGAAAACAGCCTTTGAAGCTTTGTAATGTTTCCATCACGGATTTGCATTTTCTTGTCAAAATAATGAAAAACTCAACCTTGACTAGAAATTAAGTAGTTGGTTTGAGAGTTTCAAAAGCTSTTAGGAAACAGAGGGCTCTTGAGGTTTTGTCTTTTTTTGCATCCTAACAGAGGGTATGTGTTTACTCCAAATTAATTAAAAGAAAAAAAGAAGCTATTCCATATGTTTAATTTTTCTTTCTTAAAGGAAGGACCTTAAATGCTAAATCGCTTTCCTTAAAATTATAATTTTATGGATGAAGTAGGATTTAGCTATCCAAAACACAGCTGACATACAGARTCTCCAAGGACAGGGTGGGTGAGCCTTGTGTTGTCACAAGGGTCACCCTCGAGCTGGGAGGTCACAGCTCCAGTGCAGACAAACCTTTGTGGTCATTGGGGAGCGCGGGTTCAGCCTTGCAGCAGCGCAGAATGTTTGGGGTAAATGCTGAACTTTGTCTGCATATTTTACATGTGTCATGGATTCTATCAGGGCTTGATGCTAAACATAGTGAGACCATATACTGGTAACCACATTCTTTCCTGGGATGTGTGTTGTGTAATTCCTGCTCAAAATTGATTTTGATCCGGGGACACCTGCACCCAGATGCAGAATTTGGACTTGAGTTCTATAATGAATMTAGGGATTTCTTTGCTTTTCCAGAGTGTCTTGAATTTTTTTTTTTTAACATGTTGAAATATGACAAAAAAAAGGATTCTGGCTCATTATTTTACATATTTTAGATTTGTCTTTTACATGAGTGATGTTCTAAAAGCTTCTTACACAAGTTGTCAAATCAGTTTTGGTTTTTGCCCGCTYTGCATGCTAAAATGTCTGGAGCTAAAAATGTTTTAAGTAAACCGTCTTTTCTCATACTAGCTTTGGAGGAAAGTGGAGAGATAACCATTGTTTCTGTTTGTGTTTTATAAAATTATTATTTTTGTAGCTAAAATTTCAGTTGTTGGATTTCAATCCCACAGTGTTGCTTTGTGGATATAAATCTCCTGGGTCTGCTATTTCAAAGAGTATRTGTATAACAAGTCCAGTATAAAATTAAACTAATAAAATGCACTCTTCAACAATTTGTTATTGAAAACATGGCAAATCATTTTGGTCCAAAAATTCAGAACAAATTAGATAAAGTACATTTACCTTAAGTTTATTCCTTGATGCTGCTGCTTATTTTTTGAAAAGGTGCTTGCAGTTTTGCACAAAAGAAGTCAACTTTATTAATTGCTGGGTTTGAAGCACTTTAGGATTCTTCTAAATACAACCAGTATATGGTGTAAAAAGGAATGACATAACATGCTTAATGTGTTTAAATTTTGGTTGTAATCTTTGCTATTCTGATAGATTTGATCAGCATGTTTCTTAAAACCTGTTTTCAGAGATTTGAAATCAGTCACTTTTTGGGTGCTGAAATTAAACACATGGTAAGAGATCATTTTGAGAAATACCTTTTGAGTGGGTGACTTGATTGGCAATGTGRCTGCCTAGCCATCTATTAGATAAAGACACAGCAATGTCTGTTCCTGTAGCAAGGGCAGCTCGCTGTGAGCACTAGGATCCTTTTTCTAAACCAGTTTTTCTTAACTCTTGGCTATGCATCATAAAGGAGTTGTATATGCTGTGGTAAAGCCAGGACATCTGCTTTGTGGGACTCAGCTGCAGCAGATGCTCTGTGACTACTGCAGGAAGACACCATCCCTGCTCTAAAATCCACCTTCAAACCCCTGGTATTTGCTGGGGTTCCCTTGAGCAAATCCCYGTGTTTTTTCCCAGGCTGGGCAGTAGCTCAGCATTCCATAGGCTCTTCAGGATAACAAAAGCAGAGGAGAAAGGAATCAGGTACGAAGAGCATTTGATGTTGGCTGCCTGAAGCAGAGACCATGTTTGTTGCTGATCACAGAGCTCCTTAATACCCCTGAGCATGTGCTGTTGTCTTGTACTCTAATGGGAAAAACCTTTTTTTGAAAAACCAAGTATGTCACAGGCTTTTCTATGAATTCAGATGCTTAAATTGGTGCTAATTTTTTAAAAGAAAATGTAACAGATGGTTAGCAGTGTATTTGTCTGTTTTTGATACCTATATTTTCTTAACTGGTGGCRAGCCAAACTTTATAAAATTACTAATGTGCATTTTCAGCTTCATCAGATTCCCAGATTTTCCTAAAGTAAAATGTTTAAACTTCCATGGTAATTACTGCTTCTTCGGAGCCATTGCTTTCAGGTGTTTTATACACTAATAAAATGAACACAATTAGAACAGACAGCAACACCTAACTATCCCTTTCTTTAAATCACAATGTGGTTCCCCAGGTGGTTTTAGCAGTTTAGTGTGATCAAGATGCCTAATTAAGAGCAAATCAGATACCTGTGTGCAGTTAACTCAGTACATTGAAGCCTTACGTGGTTATTAAGATAATTTATAAAGATTATACAAATCTTCATCTATTTTAAAGAGTGTATAACAAGCAGAAATAATGAACTGTTTTTCATACAAATTAAAATGTAAATTCCAGAAAATATATTATTTAATGTATTACAGAACACGGGCTATTAAAGAGTGTAATAGGCTCATTGGGTGATTTGTTATGAAATCTAATTTTATCCAATGACTCAAGTGTAGTTCTCCAAAACGTAGTTCTTTGAGAATTTATTTTGAAATGCCTTCAAGTATTAACTCCCCTCAGAGTTCTTTGTTAGTTTGGTCCTCTTTCCCACCTTCYGTTTACCAAATGTCACCAAAAGTAGCATCAAGCCCTATCACTTGTTACAGTGTTCTGGTTTTATGGCCTTAATATTAGTTATAGTCTGGTATATAATTTCAGAAGAAAGATGTACTTTGAAGTCTAACTATAGATACATGTGGCCTCTTCTGCCTATGGAATTAGGCTTTGATTGTCATATCTCATTCTCGATGCTTGTGCAATAGGAACATGTTCCTCTCAATGCAGTGGCTATTTTGTCTGATGCTGGACTTTGTTTTCAGGATGACTAGAAAGGTTTTTTGGGTTTGTTTGTTGTTGTTTTGTTTTGTTTTTATGGACAGCAGTCATGCTTCATTGGTTTTTTGGACTGATACTCTTTAGGAAACTAGAATTTCATAAGGAAAACTGTCAATAACTAGTTCTGTAGTTCTAGTTGAAGTCTTGTTCTGAAGCTTTTTGGGTTTTTTTTTTCTTTCCAAAAATGGTATTGTAAAACAGTACTAAAGCCACTGTAAAATTACAAATAAATATGTATACATAAAAGATTTGAGCAGTCTGTCTTATTTACTATGTTTTTTTCATTCTTGGCTCTTCCTGTGTTGAAGTAGAATGTTTTGTATAATGGATTTCCAAACATTAAGTTTCAGTTACCGCTTTAGCTTCCAGCTAACCGAAATGTAAGTGTTGGCATGAAAAATAAATGAAAAAAAAAATTTAAGAAATTGGTTGGAGCAGCTTTTTCCTGAACAACTGGAACATTTGGACRCATTAACAGCACTTGGTTTTACTGCCAAGTGTGTTTGAAACTTATTTGGTTTTTTTGTTTATGTGGCAGAAATTTGAAAAAAAATAGTTCCACTGTGCTTCTTTGGAGGARTCTGTAAATATTTTTGCAGACAGTGATGAGGTTTCCAAGCACCTTGCAGAGCTGTCTGCTCTAACTCCRGGGAATGGGAAGTAGAACTGAACTGCTGCTTTGATCTACTGGATTTAATGAAGGGCTTCTGGTATTAAAGGGAGGATTAACAGCTGCCTTCCAAGACCCAGAGTGAGGGCTCTCAGCCAGCCTTTGGTGTTGTGAAACTTTCACCTGGGACAGTCTGAAATAATTTTAACAGCAATGTTGCTTTTTTGTGTAAAGAACTTTGAAGTTTTACCTCTTCTTTACAAGAGTTTGCTAGAGAATATCTGGATAAAGCACGGATGCCCAGTGCATCACAAAGCATCCCTGTATTAGATGATAGGATGTTTTTGAGGCTGCTGTTTTGAACTACAAGGAAGATCTAATCCATCAAATACAAACAACAGCAACAAAAATAAGCAGTATGATGATGTGTGAGCAGGGAAGTGCTTTACAAAGCATTATCCAAAAACATTCCTTACATAGCCATAGCTTTTTATATTTCCTGCAAGTTCTTGAAGCTGGCCGGACAGTTTTAAAAAACTGAGGAGGGAGCAATGTGATGAAAACAAGACTCAAATATTTTTGGAGGAAAGTGGGACTTCAAAAGTTGATCTTTTTCATAGCAGATCTGAAAAAGTAGAAAAAAAGAAACGAGAATTCAAGTGCTGGAATTCAATGGTAAAACACTCYAGCAGGTGTGACATCTCAAGATTARAACCACTTGGGCATTTAGAGCATCGCTCAATGTGATCCAAAAAATATCAGAGAACTGCCCCAGCATGCTGCACAGGCTGGCTTGGAAGTGGGTAGTGCCAAGAGTGTGAAAGATTTTTTCAGTGGTGAGGGGTGGTACAGAGCTCCTGGGGATCCCATGGTGTTTGTAACAGCTGCTCACTGCATCATTGACAGCCAAGGTTTTCCTGTTGGGTTTCCTGTTTCACCTGGACAGGAGCATGTGCTGACCGCGGGACTGGCCTTGCTCTCTCCCAGTTTAGCTGGCACACAGCTTCTATTTCCAGCTGACACAGTCCTGTGTATTTCCACCTGTGGATCTTCCCAAAGGTTCCGAAGAACTCCTCCATTTCTCTTTGGAGGACTTTGTTTCGTCTCTCTGCATCTTCCTTTGCTCTCTGCATTTCTCACCTTCCTCTCCCCCAACCTGTACCACTYACACTGCTGTCCCAGTTTCCAGAGCATCCCCCAAAACTCCAACTGCAGTGCTCTGTTCTGCTCCAGGCTGATGGAAGTACTGATACTGTAAAGCACAAGATTAATTCCCCCCTTAGAAAAGCTCTAGTCTTTTTAAAAGTTAGCCTTTTTAAACATATGTTCCCATAAATACAAGTATTGGCACCCATGGTGTGTTTCTAGTCTTTGGTGTTATATATATTAAAAGCTGCAATTTTTAGTTAYCCTAATTTATAATAAATATAAATAACCATATGGCTATAGGAGTGAGTTTGTGGGTTGATTGGGTTTTTTARGGTTTTGTTTTTGTAGTGAAATACTCCGGTAGTGTAACACCAAATGGCAATGCAACATATTTTAGGAGATACTGACAATTCTGCTTAAATTGCAGTTCCCTTGTGCTGCAGGGGAAAATAGAAGAAGAATACAGCAAAGATATTAAAAAGAAGACTAAAATCCTACAAGCAATTCCTTTACTAAGAAGAAATTGAGAAATACTTCAAGAAATGAAAGACTAAATGTTTTTTTTTTTACACTAGGCAAAGTGTAATTCGACATTACACACTTGCCATCTGTTGAAATGCAGCATGTTSAAGTATTTTCTGGTTTATGTCAATTTGCATGACATACTTGTAACTTCTAACTAATTAACAATGTTATATTTAAAATATCCATTCTTTTTAGCTCCACAATAGCAGAGCAGCTCTCATTGGAAAGTGAAGCCTGGAAATGTTGCTGCCTTTTGGCTTTGATAACAAGCTATGGGTAAATCTCTATTCAATTTCTAATCTTAGAAATTGGGAAAATACTAATGAACACTTTCCTCAGAGTTGTTAAAATTCATGACTTGCAATTTGTAAAGAATAATGACTTACTGCTAATGCTGCTGAGCAGCCTGCRCATTATTCCCTGGAGAAATGCTTGATATTGGATTAAGGCAAAAAGGGAAAATACACAATAGACCAGAGGCTTTTCAAGAGCTCTGTGCAGCCCTGCAAAAAATCTTTTAGATGCTCTGGAGTTCCTCAAGCACCTTAYATGAAAATGAGTTTGGATGACTCTGAATAATTGCCTACCTAATCCTGTAATGCTGGATCCTGGTGCCATTCCCAGTGGTCCAGGGAGGCACTGGCTGCCCAGCCTCCACAGACCCTGCACTCGGTTACACACAGAAGGAAGGGATGCCTACCCTTGAAGTTTCATGTTTAAAATCCTTTACCTTGCAACTGTAGATTTGTTCTCAGCCTTCTGTCTGGCCATCAGCATCCTGAGAGCTGTCAGGTGGTGCTGTGAGGGTTTGCTGGCAAATCCCCAGAGGAAGCAAAGCTGTCACTGCCATSCCCTGGGACATGTCCTGCCTTTTTCTGATCCCACAAAACAGCGCTTAGAGCTGTGTTGGTTTCTTGGGAGTCTTCTGGACAGGCAGGTTTTGTCAGATACCTTGAAGGTGAGTTTTCCTCACTCATGGATCCACAGCAGGAGGCTGCTGRGCTGCCCAGCCTGCTGTCCCCAGGCCCTCCAGCACTGTCACTTCCATCACTYGGTGCCTCTTCTGCTCAGGAGGGGACCTTGTTTGTGTGTGTGCCTTGCTGTCCATTGCCACGRGCCCTGAGAGTTTTCTTCCTTCCCATAGCTGTTTGGAGCTTTTTAAGAACTCAGTCCATTTTGCTGGAACTGGGTTCTTATTTCAGCATCCAGCTTTGCTTTTTGTGCACAGCAGGTTGAGTTTTTGAGCTGCTATATCCATCTTCTGCCCACTCCCATTGTCACCATGACTGGTTTATTGTGTTCTCCAGGAATTACTGCTGTTTCCTACCCTGGTCTGTTGGCTGTAGTTTGTCTGACACCTGCAGGTGGCTCATTTGAGAGCTGTTCACCCTTCAATGGTTTCATTCCCTGTTGGGAGGTGAATTCAGCAGCACCATCCCAGTCCCAGGGCTGTGCAGGGGGAGCAGGAACACGGCTCCTTGCATTACCCTTCCCACAATTCAGGTGAGAGACCTGTAATGTGTGTTTTGGCTGTGCTGTATCCAGCTGGTGAGGCATGGATGTAAAAAAACCTGCATGGATGTAAAATGGCTCGTGCTGCTCATCCCTGGAGCATCCACTGCCTCATCTTCAGAGCGAGAAATCGCAGTGGTGCAGCGAGGGAGGCGACTCCTCCGGTCATGATGCTTCAAGGACAAGAAGCTGGAGGTTAAGGAAAAATAGGCCACATCAGCGATATTTCAATTCCTCTTGGAAAAACTTTGATGTGAATAGATACAGAGTGTTTATTTTAGCTGCCTGTTCTCACAAGAGAATCRAGCACAGCACAAAAATAACTCTGGTATAACTAAAGGAAGAGCAACCCTTGCAGTTTAAATTCATGTCTCAGAAATATTAGAGATGGTTTAAAATAATCTGGAAAGTTGTTTCCTCTCCCTCATCCCCACATGTTCAGTCTCATGATATAAGAAATGGAAATGAGTTGATTTAAGGGCTGCTGTKTTTCTGTAAGTGTTTTACAGCTCTCTTTCTGAAAAACCTCTTCATGTTTCTCTCTGCCCACCTGACAAAGCTGGGTTGTGTTCCTGGCAGAAATTGGGTCTGGGAGGTTATTGAGACACACTTTCCCCCCTGAACCTGCATTCCCTTCARTAGGAAGAGTCCTTAGAAATGAGCAGGCATGTGAATGTTTTGGGAATCTAAAGAAGGCCTAGGATGTAATATGTAAAAGCCAAGTAAGTAAGGCTTTGTCTGTCTGAGGGGGAAGATACTGTATTGGAGGAAGGTGGGGAGGAATCCACTGATGTGATTTTGCAGAAGTGAAATAATAAACTGGTTTAAATTCCACCACCCAACCACCCTTCCCCACCCAATGTTGCAGTTGCTGCGACCTAAACTTTTCCTCCAAAAAAAGATCTTCCTGGAGTATTAATGGCAGMGCTTTACAGGAGTTCTGTGTCTATTAATAAACTGACAGATGGCTGCAGTTTGTGATGAAGTGGATTCGGTTTCATTGATTAATCTGTTTTCTCCCCACCCCAAAGGAGAGGCACAGCTGTGCCCACCAGCAGCTGCTCTTGCTCAGACCTGGTTTCCACAGGCACATCTGCCTCTGGTGAGGAGGGATCCCAGCACTGCTGCCAGCGGGAGGCTGGCACGGAGCTGGGCTCTCATCTCTGCTGAGGCAGGATGGACAAGCAGAGMAGCCTTTGGGGTCTCATTTGAGAGAGATGGACTGGGAGGGGTCCGACCTTGGGTCCCCATTGCAGTTACATTGCTACAAAAACACAGCGTGGGTGAAATTAGGGAGGTCAGTGGGAAATGGGGAGAGCTGACCTCTGCTCATGCTCCCCAGGTTTGTGTGTCACTGGAGCTGGTTCATGTGGCTCATAGGGGGAGACCCTTTGGAGGCAGCAGGTTTGCAGCACATGGGGCAGGGTCTTGGGAATGAGCAACCCATAGTCCAGTGTCTCTTTCAAAGGGTGGGTGCCAAGCTCCAG